AAAAGACATAATTAACAAAAAATCTCAATATCAACCTAAGTAAATTGTCATGAGTAAAAAATAACAAAACTTTAATTTGTTATTGAGACCTGTTAATAGTTTTTTTTTATTGGGACTTCAGTATAATTCTTCCTAGTTTTATTTTGCTGCGTCTGCATGTTAGATTGATCATATTTGTCCGTAACCATCAAATTCACAGTTGGACATGACATCATAATATTGCTTCTTTTAATAGTGTTTAATTTAATTATTTTTTGGCCTGAGGCTTGGAGTTGCATCTTACCATCTTCTTTTGGTTGTCACAATTTATATTCTGTTTCAGATAAAGGTAACGGTGTAGCTCAAGCAAATTCCGTAACATTACGAATGATTTATAATATGATGATGTCTTTGGCAGAGCAGAGCAGAAACACTGAAAAAGTTGATCGATCACTCTATTACTTCACTTTTCAGCACACAGAGACTCAACATTTTTGCCCGCCCCCCAAAAACAACTCAACATTTTAAAATCCCAGGTGAACCCTGTGCCCTTGTTAATATTTGTTCTCCATCATGAAATATTTTTAAAGCTTATGTTACGTTAATGTAAATGATGTTAAAAACTTATAACAAAATAATATAAAAATTATATTACATGGAAAATTTGAAGGGAATTTTTTTTTTATGGAGTTTTGAGTTAGAAAAAGATAACAACATATGGGAGATTGGAATGGAACCAAGTGGGAAGGAAGGACTAGAGACGCATCTTTGAAACCAGAAAAGGCTTACGTTGAATGAGGAAACCAAGGGGCGCTCGAAGATGTATCCAGTTTCAATGCTTATTACTCCTCGAGTTTTTAATATATGACCTAATTTTTGAGTTGGTTTTGACATTAAATATAAGGCTCAGGATATTCAACCATAATCAAGTAAAGATGAGGTATATGATTATGGTTTTTAGGAAAAATGTGTCACTTTTCTTATAATTAACTAACTTACCTAACTTTTCAATTTAATCAAATTAGTTAAATAGGTTTTATATTAAGAACTAGAAGAGTATATTGATAAACATTCTAAATTCATTAGACCTTGATCATTGATATCTTATTTGAATAGTTCAGTTTTTAAATTTTAATTAATTATTTTAAAATAGAAAAAATTAGTTTTAAAAAAAATAATAGTTAAGAAATTATCTTTATTTTATATTTTATAACTCTTAAAATAATTTTTTTAAACAAATAAAAAGATAAAAAGATAAATCTGGACCATCTATCCGGTTTCGCTGAAACCACCAACCTATAACCTACGGTCGTTCTGCTGATTAATTTGCCTTTTATTATTATAACCTGCTGGTATTGGATCGCGACCACGGCAAAACCACAGCGGTATTGGAATTTGAATCCCTTCCGTTCAATTTTTTTTTGGCCTATTTTTGTTTTCATTAAATAAATATTCCTTAATTCGGGGTTCTCGCTTATGCTATATTACACGCGTGGGCATCTTCCCAAAATAACATATACAGCTTTCGGTGGCCGCTGCCTTCCCCACATAGGAACAATTTTCCCTGTCATCTTCGTCCTTCATACTCATATCCAGTAGCTATGTCTGCCACAGCTGGTCAGATTATCAAGTGCAAAGGTCAGACTTCACTCTCATCATTCCCTCCGTTTTCTTCCTTCTTACTGCTGCAACTGGATATTGCATCCCCTGCTTTCCTATCTCTTGCAAAGATCCTTCCCTCTTCTGAATCTCTAGAACCTCCTTTTGATCTCTGACTCTTACTGTAGCTGTTGTTAGGGTCCATTGATTCTTTTTTTTTCCCCCGATTTTTGGTGTTGCTTTCTTTATATGCTACCTCGCTTGGCTCTGTTTTCCCTGGGAAAGTGGAAGTGATTTGTGAAAATCAGATGACTCTATTGTTTTGGGTCAGGATCCTATGATTATATGAGGATCTGAATTCAAGGGATGTATTTTCAAGCTGATCCACGTTAGACGCTTTGTGTTGGTAACAGTATATACTGATCGGGCTGTGTGGAATTGTTTTGAAATGTAGCGGCGGTGTCTTGGGAAGCAGGGAAGCCACTGGTGATTGAAGAGATAGAAGTGGCGCCTCCCCAGGCTGGAGAAGTGCGTCTGAAAATCCTCTTTACCTCTCTTTGCCACACTGACGTTTACTTCTGGGAAGCAAAGGTGCTCTTATTTTATTTAATCGCTCATCCCATTTTGAGGAATCCTTCTTCCTTTATGGGATCTGAATCTTACTTTTATTATATATTTTTTTCCGATGACAGGGTCAAACTCCAGTGTTCCCTCGTATATTAGGTCACGAAGCCGGAGGGTATGTTCTTTCCCCTTGCTATTTATAAATTCCTTTAACTTAACAACTAAAATATTAACATGTGTGGATGGTGATATTATACATAGGATTGTGGAGAGCGTAGGGGAGGGAGTGACCCATCTGAAACCAGGAGATCATGCTCTTCCGGTATTCACAGGCGAGTGTGGAGAGTGCCCACACTGTAAGTCGGAAGAAAGCAACATGTGCGATCTTCTGAGGATCAACACGGACAGGGGTGTCATGATCAACGACGGCAAGTCCAGATTCTCCAAGAACGGACAGCCAATATACCATTTTGTGGGAACTTCCACATTCAGCGAGTACACCGTGGTGCATGCTGGGTGTGTTGCTAAGATTGACCCCGCTGCTCCTCTTGACAAAGTTTGTGTTCTCAGTTGTGGGATCTGCACAGGTTTTTCATCCTTCCCCCCTTCCTTCGTCATGGATATAATCTTTGGATGAAGTAGTAATACTATTTTCTGATTGATTCCTTCATTCTTGTAGGATTTGGTGCTACTGTGAATGTTGCAAAACCAAAACCCGGTTCCTCTGTTGCCGTTTTCGGCCTTGGAGCTGTTGGACTGGCTGTATGTTTCCACCTTTCTTTTGCGTTGAGTTCAGTTTTTTATAGCAGTTCGTAATTAAACAACTATATTATATTAACTCCTGATCTTTCTTTTTTTGTTTTTTTTAATATGAATTTTAGGCCGCTGAAGGGGCAAGGGTTTCTGGTGCGTCCAGAATTATTGGGGTTGATTTAGTTTCCAGCCGTTTTGAGCTAGGTACTACTTATATTTCCTTGCTTACAAAATGGAATCCGCGAGGCTCATTGAATTGATAAATATTTACCTATTGGTGTTGATGGAATTATATTTTCCTATTGTTATTGGCAGCCAAGAAGTTTGGGGTTAATGAGTTTGTGAACCCAAAAGATCATGACAAGCCCGTGCAAGAGGTTAGCTTACGCATCGAAAAACTAATCGATTTGATGAATAAATATAGTTGGATATCATATCAAAGTTGGCCAGCTTCACTTGTGAACAGGTCATAGCTGAAATGACTAACGGAGGAGTGGATCGCGCGGTTGAATGCACGGGGAGCATCCAGGCCATGATCTCGGCATTCGAATGTGTTCACGATGTACTTATTCAAAACTCACATCCTTGATATCGCTGGAAAGACATATTCTAATAACTCGATAAGCAGCTACATTCGAAGGCTGGACTAACAAATGAGAGGTTATTGCGTGCAGGGTTGGGGTGTTGCAGTACTAGTTGGAGTGCCAAACAAGGATGATGCGTTTAAAACGCATCCTATGAACTTCTTGAACGAGAGGACTTTGAAGGGTACCTTCTATGGAAACTACAAACCTCGCTCTGATCTGCCTTCTGTGGTGGATAAGTACATGAAAGGGGTAAGCCTAGTTGGAGAGTGAGTTTTATTGTATGTTGTTTCTGCCTATGTGGTCTGGTTTTATGATGGGTGTGGGATGTAATAATGATGAAATTGCAGGAGCTGGAAGTGGACAAGTTCATCACTCATTCCGTCCCTTTCTCAGAGATCAACAAAGCCTTTGACTACATGCTCAAAGGGGAGTCCATCCGATGCATCATTCGCATGGAAGATTAGAACATTGGTGGAATGGTGTGTGCTGTGAGAGTTCACTTGTCCTGCTTGTGATTGTGAAGAGGAATAAAGTTTCATGTAGAACCGGGTAAACCTTGTAATACTTAATGAATCACATGTTTATGTGTACTTCGTTTGTGTTGGTGACTCGTAAGAAATATGCTTATTATCAATGTAGTATTTATCAGTTTCGTGTTGTGTGATATTTGTTTCATTTATTTCTACATGCAATCTTGTACTTCTTTCGATTGGTGATCGCACCAATGTGACGCGGACTTTCGGCCCAAGATTTTTTTGGCCGAAGATTTTATCAACATCAAATGTGTTAAATATGGACGAGGCCGAAATCTTTAAAATTAGACAATATAACTATGTCCTTAATTTTTATCTAAATTAAGACATTTAAGATGTGGCAGATTTTAATTGGTCAAATCGAAACATTTCCTTCTAAACGAGATCAAATACAAATGGAAAACAAAATCAAAGGAAATGAAAGAACTGATTGCAAGATTCCGGAATTTGATTTTAGAAATTTAGTTTGCATATCCAAATCGAAGCCTAATATCATTATCAGAGCAAAAAATGCTCAAATCTATCAGACCGGAGCCATGGAAATCAAGTGGAAAACCCCAAAAAGTCCGGGCTAAAACTAAAAAACGATGCTGCATTGATAAAGGTTCATTTACTTCCAGCCGTCGCCCAGTTTTTTGTTTTTTGTAACCTTTTTTTCACCAAGAAGAGGAGAACCCAAACGAGTATCAAATTCTTGGGCCTCGAGGAACCAATTGGAACCAGTCTCAACTAAACTCATCAGAGCTTGGCTATCTATATATCTGATTTAAACAGTTCAGATTTAAAACTTTTAATTAATTATTTTTAAATAAAAAATGTTTTTTGTAAAAATGATAGTTAAGAAATTATCTCTATTTTAGATTCTATACATATTAAAATAATTATTTTAAATAAATAAAAATAAAATCTAGAATATTCAAATGAGATATAGATGATCCACGTCCTATGAGTTTATGGTGTTCATCAAAGTGATAAGAACCGAAACTGATTCGAAACCAATTCCATTATTATTATCTTTATATGACACACATAAATAGTGCTTATTATCTGAAACTCTATGCAGAGCAAGAGAAAGGAATTTGCATATTTACATTTTTATTTATTTAAATGCATAGTTTAGTCGCTAGCTTTAAATTGGGAGGGGGGGGGGGAACTTCACAATTTTATCAAATTACTGAACAGAATTACGCGCCCGACGCCGCGAACAGAGAGTTTATTGATTGATGCACTGCAGACAGTATTTCATGTGGGTTTCAGTCGTGGCTTGCTCGCTTGTGCTGAAGCTCGTGATGATGATGGTGTCCAAAACCAGAAGAAGTATTTGCCACGTCATGGTCATGGCCACTAGAGCTGCCCTGATCATTAGCTGACGATGATTCCGCATGGACACCGTCGCCAAACTTCTCATTCTTCACTTCACCGCCGATATGCACATCATCCTCTACCGTCATCACCACAACCTTCTGTCCGAAAGGACCCGACACAATTTCTTCCTTAACCTTTTTATGCTCATCAACGTGCATAATGTCCATTTCTTGGGACGCCTTCTTCTTCCTCCTCCTAATACAGCAAAACAGAGCAAAAGCCAGCAATGCAAGGAAGAGAAGGCCGCCCAACGAAACAAACACGATCACAATCACTATAGGATGGCTTGGAGCAGGCGAAGGTGGAACTGGGGCTGGGGGTGGCCGCACAGGTGGAGGAGGGGGAACAATTGGATGAGATGGCGGCGGCGGCGGGCGCACACGAGGAGGTGGCGGGGGAGGTACACGAGGAGGTGGCGGGGGAGGTACGCGTGGAGGTGGCGGGGGAGGTACGCGTGGAGGTGGTGGTGGAGGTACACGCCGAGGTGGAGGCGGAGGGGAAAATCGATGAGACGGCGGAGGAGGTGGAGGAGGGGATGAATGGGACGGTGGGGGTGGCGGATGGAAGGGATGAAAAGGTGGCGAAGGGAAGAAAGGGAAGTTGAAATTGTTTGGCTGTGGGGAGGCCATGTTGGGTCTTGCGTTAATTATTGAATGTCTGTTCTATAACACTGTAAGTAAAAAGTGAGGCGTCAGGGGCTTTTTGTAGGCGGCATTTAGAAATATTTTGATTTGATTAGCATGTCTGCAAGTTTTTAGTAACTTGACACTCATTCTAAGTTTTATATGTTTGCAGTGGAAAACACTTCTCGCCCATAGTTCCTTTGCTTCTGAAACTTATTCCTCTTCTTCTTAAAGGCATTGAGGAGTTAACTTATTATTATTATTATTTAAATAAATTACTACGAAAATAGGAAGGAATGTGCAAGACCCATACCCATAAACTCCGAGCACTTACCTTGTATGCAATTCCTATGTGCCTGCACTTTGGAACCTGCGGAGAGCTGTGCATCCTCCGGCAGCGATGAAGGACAGAGGCTCAGTTATCTTCAACGTAAAGTCATTTTTATATTTGAATTCTCCTTGGCTCTTCCTCGGAGTGCATCTCGCTGTTTTTGTCGCTGCACGTTGAGTCCGTGGGGGAGTTGCAGCAAGTTTTTCTTTTTTTCTTTTAACCCTTCGCCCTTGAAATTATTGCGAGTTAATTATCATGCAGTTTTATATTATATTAAAGTTGACAGTTTTCTATGATTAGAAATTATCCCTACAAACTACTTGAGACTAGCTCAGGTGACAAGGATATAAAGGCAGAATATGAATAGATATCACAAATTCAAATCCTCTTAACGTATGGAAAAAAGACACTTCAATTTACTCGTGTTTTCACAGGAATTATCAGCTCAATGAATTGAAATGTGATGCTTTTCCTAGAGACAGCTTCCCATCATTGGCACACCCTACACGTTATTTCCACATTTTCTATCAACCCATCGACTGATTGATAACTTCCTTTTAGGAACCATGCTGTCGTTTTAAATACTCAAGGAGAAAGCAAAAGTCTGCGTCCTCCAACCATTCCTTGTCAACACAGATACATCAACCTGGAATTCAAGTTGAATTTCTTTATTAACGGAAATGAACGATTACATAAATGTGCATTACACCGAAGACTCTTGTTTCTTGGCAAAAACTACAAAACTTGATCACAGAAAAGCAAATGTACACCACAGAGCCTCTCGTTTATTCACAAGCTTACACTGAAGGAATTGCTTCCCACATGCACATGCAACTTATCTGCCCCAGCATTTGGTTAACTTTAGATATAACCGGCCAAGAAAAACACTTAGACATAACTGGCCAGGAAAAAAAAAAAAAAGAAAGAAAGAAAGAAGAAGAACTTTTAGAGATAGCAACCAGGGGAGGAGAGGAGATTGCAACATCCAACTTTTTACAAAAAGCTGTGATGTCAGCTAGCCCCGTTGGTTGACAGCAAATACGAGAAGAAAATTTCGTTCCACATATCAGGTACTCCTGGCAGACACCAATGGCTACAATCGGGCACAGACGGGTTGTCGCTCCAGTGCCCCACATGCCCATCGCTTCTATATGCACCCATTGGGGTTACATGCAAAACTCTTACTGATACATTCATCTCCTTCACAGTCCTTATTATAATATCTGATATAGGGCTTCGATCTCTCCCATTTGTCCTCTTCCATGGTCTACTAGTCACTTTGCAAGTTTTACTGTCACATAGGCCACCAACTTCATCATTACAAACTAAATACACATCCTATTATTTGCTTCACAATAGAATCATATTTATGGCCTTAGAACTTAGTTCTGCCTTTACCAAACCAGAGACTCGGAAAACAAAAGCGGTGAACAGCTTACCCCCAGTGAGATGACTCAAAAGTACGGAAGAATATTTTCGTTCTATTTGTGTTCACCGCGCTTTTTACCCAAGACGCCCAGGTGTGCAAAGCTGTGCTGAAAGCAGAATTGATTGGCATTCCAGGCTTTAGCGAGTCACCGACTTGAAAATACCACCCCCTGTCTCAAGACCGTGTCAGTACTTCCAAGTAAAGCGCTGCCTTTGCATGGTTACAAATTTAGAGAAAGCTGAGGCAAATCAAAATGTTCGCTGACGTTGTTAAATTGAGATAACATAGAACATAGCCAAAACATACCATTATTAAGGATAAATGCCAAAAATTAAAACAGTAGTTACAAGTGATAGACTAATTGCTGATAGATAATCTCAAGACTACTCATTTCAATCCAAATGTTGGAATATTTTTACCAAAGACGCCGACCAGTTAGCAAATCAGATCCAGAAATTTCATGACAATAAAATGTAAATCCCATCTATGTTAGGAAAGTTAAGCTACTCACGCGTCAAAAAGCTTGTTTCGTGTCCACCAGTGACCTGAATTAAATATTAGAACATCTGAATCAATCCACTCATGGCTAATATCATCCATCTTGTCCAGTCTTAGTGCTGTCTTCACCCTTTTAGGAGCATTTCTTGGCACCGGACCATTCTTCACCAAGAATACTGATCGATAAAAGTCGATTCTAATATTGTAAGAGCTGAATCTCACACCTAAAAACCTAATCCGTTTAGTGATCTCATTGCCGTTGGTTTCGTACACACTTCTTTTATTCTCTACTCCTGTCATAAGTAAACATATCAAAGATTCCCATTGTGTTCTACTCAAAGAGTCCCCAACAAAGACCACCCTTTTCCCACGAAGTTCCTCCAGTAATCTACGAGCATCAAACCTTGGAATCTCACAATTTTTGGGTTTCCATCTCCATTTCGTAAAACCTCTGTCTTTACGCCCATTTGCAAGGCAGTTAAAACCACGTTCTGCGAAAGGGCAGTGTGAAGCATCATATAAAGGGTAACTCTCGTCTCGGATCCATCTTCCGTCAAACACATTGCAAGCAGAAACTGATACATTGGGTTTCAGAATCTCACGACTTTGAGCTGCCGAGTCAGAAATGTTACGAATTTCCAGCCCCTGAATGAGCAAGTGCGAAGTGGGAAACACAAAAGAGTATGCCCAGAAAAGGACCATAAGAAAAGATATGAAGGATCCTGCGGCTACAAGCCCATTGAAGGAAGAAAGTACCCAGACATTGGAATCACCCTTCATCATTCTATCCATAAAACCAGAAGCTCTCGAGCACAGAGTCCTAAGCTTGGCGAAAGAGATCCAGAAACTAACCAAACCCAGCATCTGCATTATTTGCAGAACCCACCAATTTTCCCAGATGTCCACGGTGAAAGAACATGCAGAAACAAAATATGCTTATTTGAAGGGTGAAGAGGCAGAAGCTAAGGAGATTTGAACGCCGAAGACGCTAGTTTATTGAAATGGGCTTGGGACACAGTCGGAAGGAGAGGAAATAGAGCTTACTTGGCAGAAACAGAGGACTCAGAGTCCAAATCTGGAAAGCTTGGAGGAAAACGAGGAGAGGAACGGTGTCAAAAGACATGGAATGGAGTTAACCAGCAAAAGATGGTGGGGAAGGGGTGGTTGTGAAGTTGGGTGACTGAGAGCAACATGAAAGTGCCAAGGAGAAGGGAAGAGGGTGATTTGGTCAATAGAACTCTAGAGAGCTGTAGCCTGGTTGGTTAGGAAGATGATTTGTTAACTGAAAAGGCCAAAAGCTACTAATAAATGCAAGAGGTGAGTAGGAAGGGATCAAGGGAACCTCGGTAGAGCTAGTTGCGCAGGTGTCGGCACTGTTATGTGGAAGCTAAGCCAGCCCTTTTTCCCCCCGGCCTGACTAGGACTCCGATCATGTACAGTGACCACCAAATCCGGACGACGAGCCAAAGCCCGGTTTTCCAAACGTGGAGAAGTCGGGGGGCATAGCAAACGTGTAACAGTCTCAGTGGATCAAAAGGGTTCCCTCAAATCTCAAAACATCACCCAATTCGTTCCTGGCTCACCAAAGTCTCGCCCGGAATTAATTTAGTACTCTACAGTTATAAATTAATTTTATACCTTCTAGTTAACTAATCAGAGGAGATTAAAAAAACAAGTTGAGTTAGTTATTTATCTTAAATATATATTTTTTTCTTAAAATATCTTTATTAATCAAGTATATTTAGCTAGAATTACTATTGTTAGAATGATTATTTTGAAAAAAAAATATAGATATAAGAGACAAAATAAATTAAAAGTCTTATATTTAGGGTCAAAATAAAAATCAAAGAAAATTTTATATTAAAAAAAAAAAGTACTACAATACATCGGTCCTCCTGCCCACGGGTTGGTATTTGGTAGTTCTGGATCTGGATACCTCATAAGAGTAAGCAAAGGAGTGATTTCTTTTCTTTCTTCCTTTAGGGCCAAACGGGTCATTCTTGGTGAAATATTATTTCATTAATCTATCAATCTATTTGACCCAGAATTTTAAATCAATCGCCTTATGCAACAAAGCGTAAAGCATCTGAAACCTAAAAACGTGTCATCTATGATGCCAAATGAAGAACTAGATGCCATTTTATGGTATAGGATAAGAATAACGGAGCATTCGTGAAAGAATTATAATAAAATTTCCAAAAAAAATAATTTTCAAGAAATGTTAATGATAAATAAATAATAATTATTTATTATTATGAAATTTGTCATTACATTCTGTTATCATTGAGATTTTTAATAATTATATTTCTTACTCAACTTTGTAGCAATTCTCCCTATAAATATTTTATTCAGACCGCATAAGATAAAAATATAATAAAATAGCAAATCTGAAAATGAAATACCATTTTTGCTATTTTTTCTAACGTCACGTTTAATATTTAAAAATAAATAGATAATAACTATCACTATTAAATAATAACAAAATTATAATAAATGTTATCTAATTTATTTTTTAGTGAAAAATAAAAAAAATATTTTCCTACGTATTAATAAGAGGACTCCAAAATATGATAAATGTAGCTGTACAGACTCATATCTCATGATCATGTTCTCCCTGGATTTATGCGACAATGTAATTCTAATAGGATAATTGAGTTATACACATGATGATTAGTTGTCAACTTTTTATACAGTAATACAAAGTTACTTTCATATAGTAAAGTTTTATGTGACGATGGAAATTAATTCTTCACATCAAATCATTCTATATAAAAACACAGTGTAATCCAAACGTCTAAAAGGTTGAGTACTTCAATTTCTAATACTACTCCTCTGGTCCTAAATGTAAGACCCTTATACAAGAGTGTATAAGGGTCTTACATTTAGGACCGGAGGAGTATTATTTTTGTTCTTAATATAGTAATTAAATAATTAATTTATAAAATTGAGAAAATTAGTTAAATTTATTAATTAATTTGACACAAATTTACTACTACTCTTCGCTCTGTACATGCATGAATATGAAGCTCTCTAAACACGCCAAGCCCGCAAAAAGACGCAGGCAGGCGTGGGGTACCAAAATATGACCTCTTGCCAAAGATCCAACCAAGTTACATTTCAGAATACAACCTAACTAAACGTAAAGAATCAAAGGGAGTGCTTAAACGCCATTCTCTCTGCTTTTTGTTCAGTGGTCTTCCTTTCCCTGCTTTCTCTCTATTTACTCTCACGTCTGCCAAACCCCAAGTGCAACATCTTGTTTCCAGGTCAAAAGCTATCAAGCGGAACACCCCCTCACTTTCTGCAGTGGAACCTTCTAAATCCTCACTGCTCATGTACTTCACATACATAGGCCGTTCCTTGAATCGATCCAGATCATTAGGAATCCGGACTGTCCTTTCAACACCAGGAGAAGACACCTGAAGGAAGTTATAAGTTTGATTCTTCGTCAAAAGGAAGCATTGAAAATCTAAATTTCAATTTGTGAGCTCTGGCCTTAAAAAACACGGGCGATAGAAAAAACAGAACCTTTGCTCCTATAAGGAGACCACATGGTTCATTAATCATTTGCTCATAAATTCAACTATTTGCACCTTCAAGTGCTGTTCATCATGCCAGTCCCATGGGTTTTTTCTCACAAGCCAAAGTTACACAACATTTTAATGAAATACTTGAAATGGTACCTCCAAACTTATATCTTCAGGCACAAATTTGGCAAGCTCGGCCTCATCTAACTTTGCTCTATAGGCTGTAGAAAAAGCTTCAATGTCTTCCATGCTAGGCGAGCCAGACCTACCGATATATGAAAGTGAAAGCTAACATCAAGTGCCCATTGACTATTACTATGTTACAGTAACCTCAACAACTTGGGCTAAAAAGAAATGAAAATATGAGCAGATATTAGCACTTGGCAAAAGACAAAATGAGGCAGACACAGAAATTACTTTCTGGTCATCTTTTTTATCATATCTGAATTACGATATATTCCACGAGTTAGAAGACATTGCCATACAGTCATGGACGCATCCTTGCTTGGCAGCATATCCAACAAAAATCCTAATAAAATACGTTATACCTAATCAGAGTATAAGCTTCAAGTTCCACGTCTTTGCTTTTATTTTTCCCAGAAAATACACTAAGAAATAGCATCTAATGCTTACTTGTTGGAAAGTCTCTCGATGCGCACTCGAATGGTGGAATTGACCAGTGTCTTAAAAGCATATATCTGCAGTTCCCCATCGAAAGACCTGGTAACCTCTTCAGCTATCGCCAGTGCTTTTTTATCCCACCACGTTCCAGCCAGGGAAATCCCACCGCCTCCGCCCCCATCACCTACCTTGAAAACCAAATGCGCAAATTGATATGTGTATAAACAAAATCGAAATTTTATAGCAACACATCAAGACAAGAAAGAAAATTACAAAGAGTTCAGCTTCGTCATCTTCATACTCCTCTTCGTCGTAGTAGCTGCCATCGTCATCCCCTAATTCCACCATGAGATCAATAACTTCCGTCAGAATTATGGGGTTTGAAGCAAAAATGAATTCACTGGAAATTTCGGTATAAACTCGTCCTTACTTCCGCAAATGGTCACTAAAGCTCGATTTGCATGTTTGGGAATAATACTTGCGCAATTTAAAAAAAAAAAAAAAACTATGAACTTCAAGTTCATCTCAGAAAAATTTTTAGTCAGAGACAAAGAAGAGGTTCAGTGCAAATGGTAGCGCTACCGTATTCGAAATCATCAAGGACGTCCTCTTCATCGTTCATTGATATTTCTTCGACAAGTGTGGATTCGAGAACTGGCTCCGACTCCGGTTTTCTTTTCTTGGCATGGAGAATTTGGGACTTTCTTGAAATTTGATGGAATGAGCTGGCATAGAATCGGAAAGAAAAATTTCTGGGGTAGGGAAGGGGCAAGTAGAAGTTACTTGCAGCGATTGCAGGTGAGAATGATATTGGGGAGACCCTCAAGTTCAAGGTTTTCGTCATATCCATTCGACTTCAAAGTGCACTTGAATTCTGGTTTTGAAGCTTTGTACCGATGGGGAGTGCAGTTTTTCTCCGGGATGCAACCGGGTCGGTTTTCCTTTCCTGCTTTGATCCAGGAGAAATTGGCTGCGTCGGCGTTCCGATTTTTTTGGGTGAAACGTTTGGGTTGAGCTGGTAGGCCATCTTCGGTCCCAAAAAAAAGAAAGGGGGGGGGGGTGTTGGGCCATTGGCCCGTATTCCGTAACGCTGAAACATAAAGGAGTAGTTCGCCCTTTATTTCTGTAAGATGGCAGTTGGTCTGAACTTTATCACAAGGGTTTACTGACACGGATATCTTTGCCTTAACTCCAACGAGAAGATTAGCAATCCGTTTAGACTAGTTTATAAGTAACTTATAAATTATTTTTTAATAGTAATTTATGGAATACGGGACAAGTATGTGAGATGAGTTTTGTTTCGACTTATGTAAAATATGCTTATAGAGGATTTTTTAAGCCCTCCCAAACAGGTATTAGAATTCACTGCTCAGTCCAATCAGGAAAAAGAAAGAAAGAAAGAAAGAAGAATTCACTGCTCAGTGACTAGGTGACAGTTAACCATGTTTTCATTTCAAGCCAGTGAATCAGTGCCCCAGTTGGATGGCCCAGAGATCATCCCTAAACCTCATGTTTCTTCCAAGATAAACACTGTTTTTTATTTCAATTATTTTTGGCAAATGCTGACCTGCATGTCGTGTACTCTATCTTTGCCTGCTAGCTTCTAAGTTTTGAATCATAAATAAACAAATAAATCTGGTCTAAATAAATAAATAAATGAAAAGGCCGTAATAGCCTACAAAAGAATTCAGGGATTAATCTCAATTTATTAATTAGATTTTTGTATTGTATGAAAATTATTCATGGCTGGTGAAAAGAGCTATTATTTCTTATAAAATTTATATGCTAGATTGATTTTTTTAATCCAAAAATGAAATAATATTCCGTTCTAACGAAAGCTAGCTTCAACTCCAAAAAACTCCAGTATGAATGCGCGAAAATTGGAAAACTAGATAACCGTTGTAATACCAATACTCTTTGATTTACACATATGGATAATTATTAAATTATACAGGTTGTTCCTACATTATTTTTATTTGTTATAAATTTTAATATACACATATTATAATATTGCTGATGAATCCATTGCTAATGGGCGAATTCCACTCCAAGCAGGAAATGGGAAAGGAAAAAATCATGGAAAAAAACTCCAAAAATTGAAAAATTACATATAAAGACTTATTCACAAATTTTTTGTTATTTGCTTATCAATTGTTATCAAGATCAATATTAGTACTATAATGGGTTCTTATTTATAATTTTTTTATTTTCACAGTTTTTTTTTTCAATTCTCCCAATGAGAAAAGTGCATTCACCGGGAAATAAAAAATAAAAAAGGAAAGGGCGTGTGTTGCCGGCCACGGTCGTTATGTTGCGGGTCAATAAGCTACAGTCGTACATAATATTCAATGTTCCAATGTTGTGCCCGCTTCCCCTCAGAGAGGGGAAAAAGAGGGAGGGGGTAAAAAAAAAAAAAACTCTTCGCTGCCTTAACGAGAAGTCTCAAATCCAACGAAGCATAAACTTGACGGGCAACTAAAACGGTGCGTTAAGACTTGAACGCTTTCTTGTTCCCTCGTCCCAGATCTGGGTTGCTCGGGCCTTGCCGATTCGCACCTGCCATATTGGAACTTTCGTCGTCGTCGTCAAGGGAAAGATCAATAACCAGGAACTGAGGGGTTCATCCGGCTTAAACCCGGAAAAATGGTGCTGATATCTGCGGTACGGGATTATATCAGCCGGATGTTGCAAGACATCTCTGGCATGAAGGTTCTTATCTTAGATTCTCAGACGGTACGTCCCTTTACTAACCAACTTTGGTAATTGGTGTTCGATGGTTGGACTTGGCACTTGTAATCCTTTGCTCTGAATCACGATTTTTGTCGGTTCGGATTCTGTTTCCGCATTTGCGATTTCTAGTCATTCGGGCGAGTGATATTTCTGCTAGATCAGCTACTATCTGCGTTCAGTTTTGCTCCCGTTCCGCATCACCTACAATCATGATGGACTGTTTTATAATTCTTTTGCTTCTTCGTATTTGTTCTGACTCAGCTTCCAGTTACTATTGTTATGTTTGTTTTGCCTGCTATCATATTGTTCATTTATTTTAAAACCATAGAACAATTTACTGAAGGGATTCAATTTCAAATTTCAAGAAATTTTGAAAGGTGGAAATCTGTGGTTGAGTTTGAGTGGATATCTTTCTCAAATTGGTGCAGGTAAGTATTGTCAGTGTCGTTTATTCACAGTCAGAGCTTCTTCAGAAAGAGGTCTTTTTGGTGGAGTTGGTAGATTCCATTTCGAAGTCAAAGGAATCTATGTCACATCTCAAGGCTGTTTACTTCCTTCGACCAACTTCGGAGAACATCCAGCATTTGCGCCGCCAGATAGCCAATCCTAGATTTGGAGAATATCATCTTTGTAGGTTTTTAAAATTGTTGTCAACATGTCCTTTGGAGCATGAATTACAATTATTCATTGTTTAGGAGCAATTTTCTCCCATTGATTGAAGACACTTTGTGAATCCGTTCTGAAATTACAGTTTTCTCCAATATGTTGAAGGACACTCAAATTCACATACTCGCTGATTCAGATGAACAGGAAGTTGTCCAGCAAGTTCAGGTGATTCTTTATGTGTGCACTGTGTTTTCTTCCTTTTGGACTTTTAGGAGCTCTTTTGTCTCAGTTTGATGCTTTTAGCACTTTCCACACGGATTTTGTCGTAATAGATACTTTGCTAAGAATTCCCCCCCCCAAAACAGATAAGATGATTACTTGTCAGTTTATTGTTCCTGAATAATATCATAATTATTGTGAAATAGGTCCTTGATGAATAGAATTTCCTTTTTTTCCCTTCTTTCTCCTGCCTATAATTGTAATGAAGATTTTGTTGTAGCTTTTTATCTGATAAATGACTTCACATATTGTTGAACTTAAAGCCCTTTATGACCCTCTTCTATATTTTGTGGTGCAATCTCTAGATCTAGGGCTCATGCTGATATAGTTGTTGTTGTCCTGGTGATCCAGGAGTTTTATGCAGACTTTGTTGCTCTTGATCCTTACCATTTTACCTTAAATATGCCTTCAAATTACATTTATATGCTCCCAGCAATGGTGGATCCTTCAGCATTGCAGCGCTTCTGTGATCGGGCTGTTGACAGTATTGGGGCTGTTTTTTTGGCATTAAAACGAAGACCTATTATTAGATACCAAAGGACGTCTGACATTGCAAAAAGGATAGCACAGGAAGCAGCCGTAAGTCGTGATGAGAATTTTTTTCCTTAAAATGATTATAAAGCCATGTTTTCTAACTCTTTGACTATCAAATTTTTTTTTCACTTTTATTAAAAGATCGAGAGATTCTGACGTTACCTGTTGTTATTGTAAGTGCATTTGAGTGATCCGCTTATAGGTTTTGGCGGTGAATAGACTTTTATCTTTTATATGACAAAATATAATGCAGAGAGCATCATGGTATGTAAAGCATGCTATCATTTATGCTTGTGAGCAATGTTAAGAAGATTTTTTGCTTCTTTTGGCTGGCAATATGTAAATTAGATTCAACATGTCATATAATCGTATCCTGTTGATTGTGTTAATATTCCTAAATATCTAATTGAATTATTGTATTTGAAACAGAAAATGATGTACCAACAGGAAAGTGGTCTTTTTGATTTTAGGCGAACAGAAGTTTCTCCATTATTATTGGTGATTGACCGGAGGGATGATCCTGTAACCCCATTGTTAAATCAATGGACCTATCAGGTATCTGTGGGCTTAAAACTAAAATTTTATTGCTTACGGAAAAACATTTGCTGATTAATCCGAAAAGTTGTTTGAATATAAAAGAAATGCTCTTTTGTGTTATGGCATTTTGCAGGCAATGGTTCATGAACTAATAGGAATCCAAGATAACAAAGTAGACTTAAAATCCCTTGGTAAATTTCCAAAGGATCAGGAGGTTTGCTACACTCCTTACAAGTCATTATGAACTATTATGTCATGATGTTGGAATTTAAAAAGTGTCCTGACTGGAAAGTGATTCTTGTACTACTACTTGTCACAGGAGGTTGTGCTGTCATCAGAACAAGATTCTTTCTTCAAAGCCAACATGTATGAGAATTTTGGAGATATAGGTATGAACATCAAGCGATTGGTGGATGAATTTCAGCAAGTGGCAAAGAGTAACCAGAACATCCAGACAGTAGGTTTGTGCTTTAAATTTTTCAATTTGTTAAGATTAAAATTCTTTGTGCTGTTACTAGTATAATAAACACACCAAACACTGCAGCAAAGTAGATGGGTCGCTAATTTTAGGATTTGACTGATTGCAGAGGACATGGCCAAATTTGTTGACAATTACCCTGAGTACAGAAAAATGCATGGAAACGTGTCAAAACATGTAGCCTTGGTTACAGAAATGAGCAGGATAGTTCAAGAGAGGAAGATTATGTTAGTTTCAGAAGCAGAACAAGAGTTGGCTTGTAATGGAGGGCAAGGGGCTGCTTTTGAGGTATATGTTGTTTGTTTCTAATTATTGAAACTCTTAACTTCCTTTTGCTTAAGCTTTTCTGGGTTATTTAATGGGTTAATCTTCAGCCTAGAAAAATTATATGGTATGCACTGATATCCTAGTTGCAAGAAGGAAAAGAAGTGCAATTCTAAGTGTCAGTTTCCCGTATCACATGTACTGATAGCTGCTTTGAATTAACAATTTTACATACTTTCCAGGTTATGACTTCTCTTTCTTATGTACTCTTTTCCAGGCAGTGACAAATCTATTAAACAATGAAAGTATATCAGATGAGGACCGGCTGCGCTTAGTCATGTTGTATGCTTTGCGTTATGAGAAGGATAGCCCTGTTCAATTAATGCAGCTTTTCAACAAACTGGCATCCCGATCAGCCAAGTACAAGCCTGGGGTAAATTAATTTAAACTGTGGCATACCGGAATTTCTTCTGGTGTTCCTTACCTTTTTTAGAATTTTTTTCTGCATACTCCCCATCATGGTTAGCAGTCTTCTATCTTCTAGGAATTTTGTCGGCCACATGATGAAAAATGATTGCAGATTGCTTTTAGCTGCTTCACCTTGT